GTGCTGTTGCCAGCTACCATGTGGAAGTCTATGATCCATGCTCCTGCTGACTGTAAAGGACAAGGAAGCTTCTCCTGCAGTGGTATCGACAGCAGACTCACAGTTGAGAGTGAGGGATGCAGAAGGCTTCTGTGACAACCCCCACCATCACCCTCCTCACAAAAACAAACCAAACCAGCCTAGACAGGAAGCCATCGAAGAGAACTCTTATAAATTTTGATAAGGATGCTGAAGCACAGATTCAGTAGCATGGCTGCGGGTGGGGTGGGGTGGGGGTGGGGTGGGGTGGGGTGGGAAGGGATTCATTGTTCTCTAAGGGGCTGGCCACGGAGAGGTTGACCATGTTCCAGTGACTATAGAACAACACAAATTGAACTTTTTTTTTTTTTTAATCTTTTTGGGAGGAGAAGGCCACCAGGGAGGGGGGAGACCTAAGACTGGGAAGTAAGGGTGATGGATGTTTTTCTGTCAGCTTAGTGGCTGCATGTGTATTAATTATAATCTGGGCCCCAGGGACCCACAGCCTCACTAGCCACTCAGGCCATGGCATGGAGGGCCTTCTGGTCCCACATCCACCATATGTAGGCTTAAATTAAGTCTCTATCGTTCTATTTTACCAACAAAGACTCGGAAGTCAGATGTGGGAGTGAAAACCTGCTAGATCAGAAAGGCCAAGAAGCAACCAGCTGACCATGGTTTTTGGCCAGAGACCCAGCAGGAATCATGTCTCTTCACTCGTTCCAAAACCAAAAGAAGAGCCAAACTCAAGTCCCTGCCCTTTCCTTCCCATGTGTCTTCTCTATCCAAATTCGTTAGAAACTCTATCCAAGTTCCTCTATGGCCAATCCAGTCTACTCCCTGACTCAAGGTAAACTATATTTAACGGTCTTGGAGTGTCACAATGCCATCAAAATTCCCACAACAGATGACCAGAGTACATTATGTGAAATTCTCAAATAATCAGTGAAAATTATGTTAAAAAAAACTGTGGGGTTGGGGATTTAGCTCAGTGGTAGAGTGCTTGCCTAGCAAGCTCAAGGCCCTGGGTTGGGTTGTCAGCTCTGGAAAAAAACAAAACAAAACTGTAATGCTACACTATCACATACTCAAGAGAGTGACTGTGTAGTGGTTTAAATACGAAGAGCCCCGGGCTAGGCAGTGGTGGTGCATGACTTTAATCCCAGCTCTCAGGAGGCAAAGGTAGGTGGATCTCTGTGAGTTAGAGGCCAGCTTAGTCTACAAAGCGAGTTCCAGGACAGCCAGAGCTGTTACACAGAGAAATCCTGTCTCCAAAACCAAACAAACAAGAAAAGAATAGCCCCCAGAGGCACATATATTTGAAGGTTTGGTCTCCACCTGGTGTAACTTTTTGGAAAGCATTAGGACAGGTGGTCTTGTTGGAGGAGGTGTGTCACCAGGAGAGAACTTGGATGTTTCAAAAGTTCAAGCCATTCCCAGTTACCTGTCTTCTGCCTTGGGGTTGTTGTCTCAACATGCAAGCTGTCCGCTGCTACTCCAGTATCATGCCTGCCTGCTACCATGCTCCCCATGATAATGGTCATGGACTCACTCTCTGAAACTGTAAATCCCATTAAATTCTTTCTTCTATGAGTTGCCTTGGTTATGGAGACTCAGCACAGTAGTAGAAAATTAATGAAGACAGGCTATAATAAAGATGGACAGCACTGGATGCTGCTGAAAAGTGGAAAAGTTAAATCCCTCACACACTGTTGCTTAGAGTCTAGCACTGCACAGACACTTGGGAAAATAGTTTGTTAAAAAGTTAAACATAAACTTGATTCTATAACTATACTCTTAGAAACTCACCCAAAAGACATAAAAATATAATCTATACAAATACATATACACAGTAACAAGCATCACTTGTAATAACCAAAAGTGTATAAATAACCAAAACCAAAATAATTGAAACAATTGAAATGCCTGTCAGTACATAAATAAGAAATTATGTTGTTTCATAAAAGCAAATCCTTCACCAATACAAAGGAATGGCCTACTACTGATGAATTCTACAACACAGATTAACCTCAAAAATGGATGTTAAGAAGCCAAATCCTGGGGAGATGTCTCTTCTAATAGAGCACTTGCTTGTAAGCATGAGGGCCTGGGTGCAGCCCCAGCATCTACCTGAAGTACCAGGCTTGGTGAAGCATACTTGCAATCCAGCTAGAGAGGTGACGACAGGGATCTCCAGGTCAACGAAAGAACATATCTCAAAAACACAAGGTGGACAGCTCCTGAGAAACACCCGAGGTTGTCCTCTGGGCTCCATGAGCACCCATATGCACACACACTCCCCCATCAAAAGAAGCCAAGTCCCCAAACCATGGCCTAAGATTCCATTTAGATAAAACCTCTCAGAACGTATGAGACAAAACAGATCACTGGCTGCTCGGGGCTAGCAGCGGACTGCATTGACGTGGCCTCTTGCATGGTGTGTGTGCTGTGTGCCCAGTTTAGACTTTCCTCCCCGTGTCCTGGAGTGCAGGAGTAAAATTTACCTACAGTAATTGCAGGTGTGAAGTGATTACTCTGTAATCCCTAACTGAATCACATTTGTAGATCTGACAGTTCACTTTTTCTTTATCAAAAAAAAAAAAAAAAAAATCTTAGGACACCTTCCAGAATAAAGTTTACTTAATATGAGCATCTGGTGTTCTGTAACCTAGAAATCTCAGACTTACGAAGCAAACCCAAGTCTGGTCCCAACCACGTTCTACAGATTTAGGGATTATAGAGTAGTCACTTCACACCTGCGATTACCGTAGGTAAATTTTACTCCTGTTCTCCAGGACACGGGGAGGAAAGTCTAAACTGTGCACACAGCACACACACCATGCAAGAGGCCACTTCCTAGTCAGTGGATCTGTTACTTCTCAGGACTCAGCCAGGGAAGAACTCTGCCACCACAGGCCACTGCCCACCCCGCTGTCACTTATGTCCCCTCCTCCATTCACCTTTGAGTGACCTCAGAGTCTCCTCTGAACCAGTCCTGGAGGCGAGAGAAAAATGGAGACAAAGCTCTGCTTCTCCATTTGTCTACAGACCACCTCACACAGGCCTAGGCTAGCGTGGGGGCATTTTGCACACTCCTGGAGCATATAAAGAATATTTACAGCCATCATACTTTTGGTCCAATAGCAACATTCCAAGAATTAACTAAAAGGAAGTGAGGGAGGAACAGTGGGACCAGCTCATTCTGGTATATTTCCAACAGCCATAAAATACCCTCCCTGCAAAGAATCAAAACAACCTGTAACAATAGGAGTCCGTCAAATGAACTATGGCACAGTCAGAAGATGGACGACTTCCTGAAGCCATGAGATACATGCTCTGGGGAAAGAGAGCAAACAGGAAAACACGGTCACACACTGTGTTCAGTGACAGAAGCCCAAGCCATGCACAGCAGGGCCTTTTCTAGGCAGGCGTGACAGAATTCCCCTAGACTCTCAGAAAGATATTTGTGCAAAACTGTGAGAGGAAAGGCCTATAGATTGGTAAGGTCATGGCCATGTGTACCTGTAGTTCTCAGACTTGAAAGTGGCATAATTAAGTGAAGGATCTTTATTCAATATATGTTGAGGTTGACCTAAGAGTCTACACTCCATCAAGTTTCCAGGTAACGCGCCCCTGCCATATACCTATGATGGCCATCTCCAGGTGAGGAGAACACAGGTACACATTTACTTTTTACACTATCTTACATATTCCATAAGGTAAAATACTTTTGTAATAATGAAGAAAACTTCTTATTTTCAGAATGTTTGAATCTGTGATTATTTTTATGGCAACTGTTTTAGTTAGGGTTTCTATTGCTGTGAAGAGACACCATGACCATGGCACTTCTTATAAAGGAAAGCATTTAATTGGGGCTGGCTTACAATTTCAGAGGTTCAGTCCATGATTATCACAGTGGAAAGCAAGGCAGCAGGCAGCAGACATGGTGCTGGAGAAGGAGCTAAGAGTTCTACATCTTGATCTGCAGGCAACAGGAAGTGAACTATGAGCCACACTGGGAATAGCTTGAGCATCTGAGACCTCAAAGCCCACCCCCACAGTGACACACTTCCTCCAACAAGGCCACACCTCCTAACAGTGCCACTCTCTATAGGCCATGCATTCAAACACATGAGTATATAAGGGCCATTCCTATTTAAACCACCACCACAACCATCTTGAATACTGTGAAATGGGATCAAGGGTTTATCACATTCAATACAGAATAATTTACAATAAAAATGAGCGATGGGCATAGTTAACTAAATTTTACTTTAATATTATTTTAGCTCTGGGGTTCAAACCCAGGGCCTTTCACATGTTGAGAAGTGCTCTGCTATGATGCTATAGCTCTAGCCCTCTACTTTTTAAGAGAATGGTTGAAAATTGATGAAAGGGTATGAAGGTATTACTATTTACAAAGGCATGGAAAAACAAAATGGTAAACTTTAGTCACAGCATGACAACTAGGTTAAAATGCTGGCACTGTTTATAAAGTGTTAAATGTATTAAGTCTAGAAGGAAAGCTGGACTACATCTGTAGTGGCATCTGCTCCGCCCATGACCTCGGGCTGTACGGCCCAAAGAGGTGGTGCTTCCTGCTGTTGGACGGGACCTCTTATGAGGAGTTGGGGAAGGGTCACATGCCCCTTCTCCCTGCTCCTGCCTGTCAGCTGGATTCACTCACGAATATGGAGCAGTGGACAGAAGCAGCGGGTCTGTTCTGCACTGTGAGGAATGACGCGGAGAGGCTAAACACAGTAAGGCAAGGCGACACTGAGGTGGCAGAATCACCAGAACTCAGTCCCACACACCAGAGTCCTTGCTCTGCACTGTTCTGTTCTCAAGCCAACAGCCGGTCAGCCCTCTTTTACTTGGCCAAGGAGATGATGACAGCACACAGTCAAACCTGAATCCCAGAGCCCCGAAAGGCCTACCATCAGCCCGCTGGCCTGCCATTGACAAAACACCTGTGTCTGTAAGATGGGCTTATGTATCCGGGCCTAAGCAGGCATTCCATTTGTAGCCCTTTCAACGTGGACATGCCTACAGTGATAGTCTATCAACAAAGACCTCAAAACAATACCTGTTTCCCCCCCAAATCACTCCACAGGCTCATTTCTGTGGGTGCCCAGGCCTGTGGAACTCAAGGACTCTGAAGAGAACTTCAACTGTGATGAAACTGCGGACACAGCACACTGACCCCGGGATCCTTAACACAAAGTTTCAAACTGAGGAAATCCAGCTGCCTTAGATTTGACTTGCGGAAGCATCTGGGAGGCTGGGCTGTGGGCAAGTGCTTCAGTTCCTCATCCAAGGCAAGCTTTCTGAGAAGCCATGCCTAAGCAGCATCTAGAAGCAGACTTGCAGTTAACAAGAGTCAGGTGGGCAGAGCAGAACCGGGGAGAGGGCAAATCCTGGCAGACCCTTGGCATGCCGGGGACCCAGCCTCAGGATCCACTTGACTCCCAGAGTCAGGCTGGAGTTCCCATTGTGCCCAAGACCCACCTTCTGACTTCCAAGGAGCTTCTGATGGGTTCTTTTGGGCACTCCCTTCCCACCCCGAGGCCTCCAACACCGACCCCACCTCTGCAAGACTGAAACATCATGTAAACCAGAAAAGCAGAAGAGCATGAGGAAATGACCACTGTTCTAGTTAGGGCTCTTGATGGGATAAACACCATGACCACAGCCACGTGGGGAGGAAGGGGCTGATTACAGCTCACAGCTTGTCCATCACCAGGCAAGCCAGGCAGGCACTGAAGCAGAGGCCATGGAGGAGTGCCGTCTACTGGCTTGCTCTCCAAAGCTTGCTCAGTTTGCTTTCTTATACACCTCAGGGCTACCAGTCCAGGGCTGGCACCACCCACAGTAAGCTGGGCCCCCCACATCAATCTGGCGGAGGCATTTTCTCAACTGAGGTTTCTTCTTCCCAAACGGCTTGAGCTGCTGACAGGTTGACATAAAGCCAGCCAGCACAACCTAACTTGTGCTCTCTTGGCACAGGCACACGCAGTATAAAACACAAGCCCTCTCACATTCGCAGAGGACAGGGCCTCTGCACTTCCCTTCGGCTGGCACTGCAGTTCTGTTTTCTGGTACTGGAGGCCTGAGGAGTTGGCTCAGTGGCTAAAGTACTGTGGAGTGAGAATCAGGACTGGAGTTTGAGTCTCCAGAACCCAAGTAAATAACGGGCGGCATGGCAGCCAGCCCGCAGTTCCAGCCTTAGGAGGTGGAGATGGGATCCGCAGATTCTGGGAATTCTGGGTTTGACTAAGAGACCCTGACTATAACTAAAGTGCAAGAATGACTGAGGATCAACTCTGATATCAGCCTAAGGCCCCCACATGCATGCAAACCTATGTGCCAATATGCCATTCCACATGTGTGCCTCTCACATGTAAACATGCATATACACACGTATAACACATACACATTTATGCAAACAGAAAAATAACAACATTGTCTCATATTGGAACCCAGAGCCCAGGGGATGCTAGGCAACTGTTCTACCATTGGCCTATGGCCCCAGCCCGTGTGTGTGTGTGTGTGTGTGTGTGTGTGTGTGTGTGTGTGTGTGTGTGTGTGTTTGAGAAAGGGTTTTGCTATATGGCCCAGGCTGGCCTTGAACTTGGTTATGCTTCTGCCTCAGGCTCCAGAGCTGCTGGGATTATAGGCATGTGCTCCACTCTACCCAGCTAGTTTTCCTCACATTTCTACTGGAGGACACCAATGCTGATAGCCCGGCAACACACAAGTCACTGGGTTCCACTGTGGTGCCACAGGCCGCCCCTAGCAGCTCACGGCTCTCAGAGCTGTGCGGCTGGTCCTGCCCACGGGTCCGACAGACTCCCTGGAAGAGAAGCGAACCCCAGGATGGCAAGCACTTAGGGACAATGGAGAGCAAGCCGAGGGAACAGGAACCCTAAGCTCTCCTAAGAGGAGGCGATGCAGTGCTCCTTGTGCATTTGTTGGAAGAAGTTCATGGAAAAAGTGTAACTTTCTTTTTTTAAACATCTGTTTTGTGTGTGCATGTGCACACATAAGCACGTGTCATGGCATGTGTGTGGAGGTCAGAGGAAAACACGCAAAAGCAAACTGTCCTACCATGTGACTTCTGGGGACTGAAGTCGGGTTGTTGGGCTTGGCCACTCACCTTCTGAGCCGACTCGCAGGTCCAAATCTGATGGTCAATGCAGGTTCGGCTTTTTTTTTGACTGTGATGGCCTAATAGGGCATTTGATGGCTACGACTCCTGTTGCCAGTGTGTCGCCATGGCGGTGTGGCGGATGCGCTTGTCTGGACTACTGAGCCAGCACCAGATGACAGCAGGCACATAACGGAGATTCTGGAGTACTGTGTGGCACTAAAGAGAGCCTGGGGATAATGCCACCCTCACTTTTCACAGAGAATAGCACCATCTCGGTGCTACTGTAGCAGGCAGTTGGAGTCTACTTTTGGTAAAAGGCACTGAGACTTGCAGAGCATCTGAATGAAGGCCTGGTTCTGTGCTTGACTCTGCACATGCATGTTACATGCATGTTACTCGATCTAGGAATAGCTGTGTACCTAGCCTAGCTCATTCCCTTCCCGATGGAAGACATCCAGGGACAGGGAAACCTCCCATGGCAGACTACCCTCAAGATGAAGGCAAATCTCTGTTGGGGGATGCTCCCCTGGGATCAGAAGTCATCACCCTGTAGGAACCAGACTGCTTCCCTAAAGTGATGAGAGGTAACCACTTCTTTGGACCACCTTGCAGAACCAGAATTGAGACACTGGCCAACCAGGCCACACCTTGATCAGAACTGCTTCATTATGCACACATATCTCCTGCCTTCTGCCCCAATTCTTTCTCCATTTAAACCTAAAGTTAATGTTTCCCTGAAGATGACCTTGGGGACATTAGGCCTCTTTTCCCGATATGGTGACTGAGTCCCCTTTCTCTGTTTTATCATGACTTGCTTTTTAAAATTGGAGTACAGGGATGCGGAGAGGAGGGCAGAGGAGGCAGGGTGGGGGCGGGGAGGCAGGGGATTTGGGGGGGGGAGGCAGGGGTGAGTCTAGCTTGCTCAGACTGCTGAGCTCAGGCTTCTGCCCTAAAACTGCAGTCACCATACCTGTCCCAGGCCATCAAGTGAACAAAGTCTTCTAAGCAGGATTCCCTTCCAAAAATGGGCTGTCACGTGATACCCAGTGTAGGGCAGAGCTGTGAGAATTAAACAAGTTTGTGGGAGAATGGTGAGGTGGATCGGTAGTAAAGCAAGAGGATGCAGAGCCCCAGAATACTGTGAAAAAGCCAGGCACAATGGGGTGTGTCCAGAACCCCAGTACTG